TCATTATACAAAATAAAATCTGTATGCAAAACATAAGTGTATCAAGCTAATAATATGTTTAGGTTGGTTTTAATAAGTCGCTTGTGTGTGATATGAAATTTGCTAGGTGCTTCAATTCTTTTACGCTGTTAGAATTTAGCAGGTGTATATATTTATAGATATTCAGCTACTTAATGCCTTTTTTTTACATACATGACAACCTCAGTTGACTGACTGCATTGCATTTAGATGTGTAATGAAACTCGTCTGCAACAGCGGGCGGTTCACACTTACGTAATCTGTTTTCCCTTGGATGTAACAGGATCATGTATGGCATGTAGGGTTTGATAACAGGACTAACACTAAGAGGGATAGATCCATTTCTTGAAGCTCATAGTCACATGTATCACTTTTAACTGTTCACAATATTAACACTATTAAAATAGATTTTTTATCATTGAAATACAAGATATTCACTGTGCAAAGTACTTCTTGCTCTCAGTGTCACGATTATAACAATTGCTGTGTTATAGTACTGTAAAGAGATGAATCATATTCCTAAATTTTTACCTGTGATCTTTGAAACCTGATACGATTTGGAAATCCAATTTATTTCACAAGACAGTCGAAGTAGAAAGTAATTAGAATTGTTAAAGCTGAAACAGAAATATTGACTTTCCATTAAAATGTTTCACTCACAATGAACAAGCCCCTTTTTTAACAAGTTGACAGTAACAAGCATGGTATTGTTACCCTCGGTGACCTTGTGTCACATGACCAGTGTCGGTTGGTCACTGTCGGAATGTCTCTCAGTTGAGGGAAGGGGTCCCAAGCACGCTCTGCTGAGCACATAGAGTCTTACTGCCTGAATATTGAGTTAGCCACAGAAGGCTTAAAGGGCCACACAAGGGAGTATGTGAAATTTCAGTGTTCCACGCTGAGGATTATTTCGTTCACGGATTCTGGATTATTGCGGACAGTGAATGTGTGGTTTTTCTTCCTATATCACATATATGTGAGTTTCCGACATTGGAGAAACTGTATTCAGCCTGTCCTATGAATGTGGACTCGTGTTTGGTAAATATATGTTGTTGTTTGAATTCAGTGTTTGTAAGGTAACCCTGTTTTTAACAATGGATGTGCTGTGAGGTTGTGAATTGTATTAACATGCTTTTCTCTTTTTTGGATTTGGTATTAGGCAAGTGCATTTGAAACTTTAATAATATATTTATTTAGGATGTTTTAGACAGAAAAATCTGATTAACACCTAAAAAGTAATGGACCTACATGGCAGATTTCTGCTTTGGTTACCATGATTCTGTGAGACATGAGTGAGTGAGTGAGTTAAAGTTTAACGTCACATCGGCAATATTTCAGCCATATCGTGACGATGTGAGACATGAAGTCAGATTGGTTGATAATTAAAAGTAGATAAGGTCATAGGTTTTGCTGGGCCAGCAAAGTGAGTGAGTTGTATTTTATCCTGCTTTTAGCAATAGTCCAGCAATATCGCAGCAGGGTACACCAGAAATGGGCTTCACACATTGTATCCAGACACCAACATAAACATGCAGTGTAAATTCAGTATATCTGAATATGTAGTGAACATCCTGAAGTACCCATTATCACTTTTTGTAGGTTTGATGTATACAGTTAACTATGTTTATAACAAACACGCTTATAATGAACTGATTGATATAACGAACTTAATTTTAGTCCCGACCATGTGTTGTATAAATGTTGTATATATGTTGTATATATGCTTATGATGAGCTACGGTTATTACAAACTAAAATTAGTGGTCCCTTTGAGTTCGTTATAACCGTAGTTTACTGTATATTGATTTTTCATGACAGAATCAAATTTAAAGAAAATAGTTATTTTATGCACATGACCTTTGGTTATCATAATCTTATTTGCACTGCTGATACTCTTCATGAAACATTATGTATATAGACACTAGACATTCATATAGTTCAATTTAGGATCCAGATATTAGTTACAGGGGGGTTGGTTAGTCTTTTGATGCACTTATGTACTGAAAATAATTACCCTCCCCTAATGCTTGTCATATTTTTGGATTATGCTCCCCATGTCCTTGTATATTTTGTCATGACAAAATGCAAAAACACTTTATGTTGTATTATAAAATTGTCTTTTTAAGCATGACCCTCATTTTCCTTACCCTCCCATGAGACATATTTTTTGTTGACCCTGGCCTGATTCCCTCTGACCCCTCCCTCCTCCCCCATAATAATTATAATACATGACTGGTTCCTTAGTAAATAGTAGGTACAATACCTGCTCCAAAATTTTAAAAAATACAAATAGATTGTTTGAAACCCCTGAAGGAATCACTGTATGAAACGTTATACGAGACTACTGTTAAAAAAACCAACCAACATTCGCGAGTTTTAATATCATGTAAACAATCTTGTTGACAATTTCCCTTTGACAGATATGTACATTCCTGATGATTAATGAGTTGATATAGATATCATTTGATGGAATCATTAGGTGGAAAAGGAGTAACACAACAGTCCAACAGTAAGCCAAGTCGTTACCATTGTACGTACATAGCCTGTCAATCAATCCTCATTCTGAGCATGTGCTCATCAGTCATTGAGTGAAGTGGACAGCCAGACTGTCACTCATTTCATGTGCACATTCTCCTGCTTGGAGCATATGTATACCTGGAGCAGGTAACGAGGCATGGGATTGCTCATATAGCTTCAACAGGACACATTGGCTTGTCATTGAACCAGCACATTTTTGATAGGCATGTGATAAATGGCACCAGCTGACATCTAAGCTGCTCGTCTATTTCTCATTGACTATCGGTTGTCGTTTACGAACCTTCCACATCAGTTGAATAGAAATGGCTGAAAAAGAAATGTAGTGGAATTCTTTTGTGCAGTTTGGGTTCGCTACCTGACACTTGTTTGAGTATTTTTGAGACCAGGACAATGGGTAGTGGTTCTATTGTGGAGGATTCTCAGCAGCTGAGATGTAAGTGTGTTGTTTCAAATAGCATCTGTTCTGTTTGATGGATTCTCAGTATGTTATTTTTTTCTGCATTTCAAGTTTTTTTGTCATCTGGTCTATATCGCTTGGTTGGGTGTGCGGTTGTCTTTTTGTAACAAATGTTATATTTGGGATAACATAAACAGAACTTGAATTTTTACTTTAAGAAAATGTTATCCTAAATATAAGATTTGGTACATTTAGCCACTTTCTAAAAGGCATTGTGTATTTGTGAGAGTAAATATGTTCTGCTTGAATGTTTTTTCTGGAGGAATCGATATGCTTTGGTTTGTTGTTTTACGCCGCACTCAGCAATATTCCAGCTAGCTGACGGCTGTCTGTAAATAATCGAGTCTGGACTAGACAATCCAGTGATTTACATCATGAACATCGATCCACACAATTGGGATCGATGACATTCATCAACCAAGTCAGCGGGCCTGACCACCCGATTCCGTTAGTCGCCTTTTACGACAAGCATAGTCGCCTATTACGGCAAGCATGGGTTGCTGAAGACCTATTCTACCCTGGATCTTCACGGGTCGAATCGATATGCCAGGAGTGTTGGTTCCTGTTGAACAATATACCCTGGATGAGGACTCTATTTCCTTTCCTCAGTCAATTTCTACACATGAATTTTTATTCCCCTGGAATATCTATACCTAGGACTAATTCATCGCTCACATATTCAGGTGTCTTCTTCATAGAATGAAAACAGACTGTCTTTTGATATGGTCTAAAGCTGAAGCTCTTCAGATATTTTTGAACTGTGTAATATGGATGTCTACATTTATTAGTGACTCTTTTTACAATATTTTTTTCTTGTAACAACATAAAGATAATTCTATTCCCTAGATTTTCTAGGGATTTTCTCTCTTCTCATACATATCAGGCTGTTTCGGAACGGGTTTTTTGAAGAAGTTGATATTTTTCAAAGCTACATGAAACAGAAACTGAATTGTGTAAATGTTTTTTGTGTAAATGTCTTACACAGAACAAATAAGATCAATTTATACATTTGTCTCCAGAACATGTCAGAAGTGATTAAATGTACTAAATAGGCCAACGTGGAGGTTCATTCAGGATGTTCATGTCAGCTGCATATATCTAGATGAAACTCTTACTGACTTTGTAAAAAAACAAACAATTGTCTCCAGAAATGACTAGATAATCTATCAAGCCATTATGGAATAATCTCCTCATCCCCATGCTTTGAGAATTAGATTTGAGAATTTTTTCATTGTCCTTATCTCAGTTAAGATTGTAGATTTTTTTCCTTCATTAGATCAATGTACAAATTTTGATGAAAGGAATTCATTGCTCTTTAGGATCTTTGACATATGAAATTATTGACAGTCTTGTATTTGCTCAAATATGACGTAAACAACAAGGATGTATTTACTCTTTGAAATTATACCTCATTGTACCGAATAGATCAATCATGTCTCTACACTGAAATATTTCACTTTTAAAAAGTGATCTAGTACATGAATTAAAATTCCCAATGACAATATTCAGACATGTTTTGAGCTAATATCTATGACCTAAATATTATTCAACGTAGAAGTATGCGATTAAACATAGGTTGTATGAACTTTAAACACGTCCTTTCAACAATAGCTACTCTAAACATGCCCTTTTGTAAGTTTCACTCGTACACGAACACATAATTTGAAAAAAAAGTATTTCTATAGATTTCTCTCTTCAGATGGTATATTGTATGACATGAACTCGGAAGGCTTTTAGTGTTTGCACATATAATGTTACTCTTAAGGAGATCAGTGAGGGATGACCTTGAATGTTTTTAATACTTTCACTCGACCCCACCTGAGAGAGCATTTAAACATACAGTATGAGTCAGCATGGATACTGCTGTGTTCAGTGTATGATAATCACAGCTTACACCCACAGCAACCTGAATACTGTGTCTGATAGCATGGAGTGCTCACAATACATTCCTAATTTGGATTAATACTTTCATTATTTTCTCTTTGCAGTTGTAACAAGTAATCCGGCCTAAGGGAACAAACACCATTGGTATTGTGCAAACGAGGTACAGCCTGCTTTCTGATGTGGAAGAAAAAGCTTGAGTTAATCCCGATTGGCCGATAATAACCTCGTCAGCGGACAAATTGACGGGATTAGATACTCTCTGAGACGGATAGCCTGGACCAAGTCTATGCTTGTAGTGTTGGATTGTATGAACAGTGTTTGAAATGCATGTGAGATGACAAGCAGAAATTGTAGGCTTGCCTTTGAACCTGTTGACGTCTGCTTGTGATTTTTTGTCTGCTACCAAGAGAAGATGCTTGCTACAAAAGAAGTAGGTGTTTAAATATGTGTGAGCAAGGCTGAAGGGGCTCTTACGTGTTAGGAGTTCCACCTAATCATCCCCTCTTCAAGGATTTACAATAGTCGGGAGTCAAGATATGCTAGGACCGAAGACGTCTGCTCCTCAAGAGCTTGGCTAAGAGCAGACGTGCACTGTTGAAACCTGAATGTGTGAACAAGGACTGACCACTGTGTGGACATGGCGGACTTTGATCTTTGGGAAGCATGTGCAATGTCATCACAAGGATTTCACCTCAATTGAACATGTTAATCAGAGGTATAAAGAGATATGTTCTGTTTGACTTTGAATTTAGATCTTTGCTGTTTGATGCTTAAACTAATTGGAGACATTTCTAAATCTCACTCGTCTTCATGTCTCCTGTGAAATTACACTGTATGGAGAAAAAGAGTTAAACCTTCTTTCCCTGGAGGAATCACAAGTGGATTAAAGTCCCGTCAAACTTATGGCCTCTACGTAAGCAGACAAATGGTGACCTTCATTTCACTTAAGTGAGCTGATGTCAAGAAGAATGTAAGAGTGGAAGCAGTGTCCTTCAACTTTGACCCTGAACAAGAAGACTTGATCTGTTTCGAAGAATCACTAAACATGGGAAGTAAGTGTCTTTCGGGGTGCTATGTGTTTTACATTGTGCTGTCTCTCCTGACGCACTTGGCAGAGCTGGTTACAAACACAATGCTTGCATACTTCCTGTGGATCAGTGCCACAACACAGGACAGCTGGTTCAGTCTTGTAATGGGGGTACTCCTTATCCCTCTTGTGCTTGTACAGTTACTCTCTGCCATATTGCTCCTCAACAGAAAAGGAGAAAGTCTAACCACCTGTGAAGCCATTGTCATGGCATTTCTTCATATCATTCAAATGGGATTTATATGGAGACATTTTACCGTGTTGCGAGAAAGGGACGTTCTGGTGAAAAAAGCTGAAATGGCAGAATTGTTTCTGTTAAGGCTGACTTTTGCGTTTGCATCAGGATTTCCATTGATGTTGATACAGTGTTACCTTGTCCTGGAGAACATATCTTTCCCTGCTTACTGGATATTGTACGTAGCGGCAGGTTCCACTCTCCTTTCAACAACATGGGCCTTGGGGAGTTTTCGTAGACAGCATGAAACATGTGAGACTGAAAATATTGTGCTAACCTGGCCGGGATCTGTATTTCGACTTTCGTGGCGTGCAGGTGAAATTGCAGCCAGAATAATATCCCTGTCACTTTTCGCAACGTTATATTCTCAGTGGTTATTTTTAGTGATTGGACTCCACTGGCTGACAATGCTTGTTTGTGTGTGTACATCCGTCTTCAGTGCAATCAACGAATCAAATGGCAGCAAAGTTTACACAATATCATTCCGCGTCCTTGTAGCTTATATGTACATATTTGCCTTCATCAACTTCAGCCACCAGAGCTCCATGTTCCGATATGTCATGTTCTACATCATCATGTTCCTTGAGAACACCACTCTCTGTCTCATCTGGATGGTTCAAGATGCTGCAGGAGAAGAAGGGTATCGGTACCTCCTTGTCTTCATCACAGCATCCTGCTTCTTTGTTGCCATCGTCTCCCTGACAATCTACTACAGGTTCTTCCACATCAGCATCTCTGATGTACCATCAGAGGCCAAGACGCTGGTCTGTGTAAAGGATTGCTGCATCAACTGTAAGCTAAGCCTATGTGTTAAACATAAATTGAAATTACAAAGACCATTCAGTGCTGGTTGGTACAGCCAGTACAATGATGCTGTGTATAATGGTCACTATTACAAGAACCTTCTCCAAGACTCCTTGCTAGACTCTGCCTCAGAAATTGATGTAAAGTCTACTGGAACATATCGATCATGTTTCTACAAGCCAGGGACGATATCAGAAGAATCAAACACATCTTTCGTAAGAGATCCAGATCATTTGGATGTTGAAAAGAGGTCAGTGGTCAGTTTCCAGTCTGTAGGAATGTACATGCACAGACGATATATCAGCACAGATGAAGACATCCTTGATGATGACGATGCTAGTTCTATCCCAGCATCACTGAGCCCAAGGCGAGCTGATGACCACATACTCAGTGAGTCCAGTCTCTCTATCGGCAGTCCAAGATGGATACCTCCTCCGGGCCGATCAGCCAGCCAGACATGCCTCCTCACTGACACCTGGGACAGTATCTCTCAACTGAATTCTGATGACCTTCACCCATATCCAAATATTCCATCCTGTAGGTCCCTTCTCAGGGATGACCATAACTGGTATTCAGATGGTTACACGACAGACAATACGCTTGTGTGGTCCAAACTTCCCGTAACGGATCTCAGCAGGCACAGACCTGTTGTAAGCGATAGTGAAAGTGAATATTACTGCCATTGTCCCAAAACTACTAAGAAGAAAATGACAGGTGTTCAACCTCCACGATCCAAGGTACACAGGCAGGAGAGTTTATCTGAATCTGTAAAGGAGAAGTACATGAACTGGTTCAGGAGGCCCACCGCCCTCCACACACCAGATGCTTCCGAGGAGGAGAGATCCGTTCAGGGTAAATGTAAATCTCGTAAACATGGAAAGAAGGCTCCTGCTTGGACACTGGACAGCACAGACAAACTTGTGACAGAAAGTTTTGAGAAATGGAGTAAAAGGTTTGGAGCTGTCCCAAGTCCAGACTCTAATGGGAAACATCAAGCTCCTCTGTTTGATATTTGTGATCAGATTGTACAGGAAAGTCTCACAGAGGCTCAACTTCAGGAAAGTGTCAAACATACCTACCACAGTATGGTCAGCTCAAGGGACAACACTGACCCTGAACATGGACATTTTGTGAAGGCCAAGAACAAAGGTCGTCGTGAAGCAAGGCATGTGTGCCATGTGACAGACAGTGAGTCTGAGACTCAACCTTGTGTGAGACCTCATAGGAGCAGAAAGACGTCCCATTCACCTTCTTCTAAAATAAGTGTTTCAGACAGTAGTGTGACTGTAAGTAAACATGGACCTCAGAGTGACATCCTCACTTCTGTGGGTCCCCATAAAACACCTGTCATCATTCAAACTCAGACACAAGTTGGTGTCATGAACATTCGTGCAATGCAAAACGACAAATCAAAATTGAGCACCGATTCTGGTGTAGGACAGCCTGATTATGAAAACGACTATGTTCCGATGATGAGTCTTTTGAAGTGTGCATCAAGGAGCAAGAAGGAAAACATTTATGAGAATCAGGCATATATAGGTGATAGCGACGAGGTCTTCATGGACAATGTAGTGAAAGTGACGAATGAAGGATATAGACGTCAAGGAAATCTGATGAGTGACGAGGTGTTTGTGGACAATGTTTTGAAATTAACTCCAGAGACGCCTTGGTATGTTTGTAGTGAATCAGAAGACAGCGCTCTACCGCAAGAAACATTCAGCTCCAGTAATTGTGGGATGACCAACTCGGACAATGAAAGTGATGACAGTTTAGAACTCATCATTTGAAATCTGATAATTAGTGTGACATGATGCGTGGAGTGACAATGATTTTATGGAGAAATATATGAAAAAATATGATTGGAAGGAAATCTAACCAAGATTTTCCCAAATCTTCCAATTTTTCCAACCACAAATCCTGTTATTTTTGTCAAACACGTTTTTTTTTACCAAAGTCAAAACGCCTTATAACCTACCTGGGTTGTCATAAAAATGCATTTACTCAGATTTTTCCTTTAGAAAATTGAAGTCAGAAAATGTGTGAATGAATTCTATATGTGTGATATGAGTGATATATGAGTGATATTTAATGTATACCATTGTTAAGCATAAACACAATCTGTACATGGTATACATATGTACAGAGCTCTAGGAAATATATTCTGACATTTACGTGCAACATCTGTTTGTATACTGATGGTGTAAATAAGAAATAGATACATATACAAAATTGTAGATTTCCATGTTTGAAAATCAGGAATTTCCATCTCATTAAGACCTAAACATTTCACCTCATCATTCACCTGAATCTAAAATATATGTTCTCTGGCAGTATCCAGAGTAAAAATATAACTATTTTTTAACACCGTAAAGTTTTAATATGATGCATACAGAAGTCAGTTTCAGAAATATTTTCTACAAGTCAATACATTGTATGCTCAGAGTGAAGTTCAATTTCATGTTTACTGCATTTGTTAATTATTCACAGTTCTGAAATTGTTTCTTATTTTTATTTCTTAGCTGCTAAGATAATGCAGTTGTACAGGTGTCACATTGTAGACATTGTCTACCTGTTCCACTACTTTTGTTTGTGTTAGATGCTGATTGTACCGATTATACATGTCTCAGGTTTTGTACCCAGATGATATTGGAACTTATTGATCAGTTCATGTTTATGTTTGCAACGAAATAATAGGAACATAGGCCAGACAATTTATTTCTTGTTTTGAAGGCACAATGGCCCTTTGTTTTGCAAAAGTATAAATTCCTAAAAAAAATCTGATTGATTAGATGGTGTTTCTTTTAACCAGAGACCGTAATTTGTTTATGGTCTCTGTTCTGTTTTATTTTACTTTTTTCTATGTTTGTTACAATTTTATTTCAAGAATTTTTTTAAAGGAATTTTTCAAATTTACCCTACTATTTCTTTATATTTTTTATGTATTTTTTAATTTATAAAGTGATCAAAATCATAAAACAAAAACACGAAGTGGTCTGGCCTAGGAAAACAAAAAGAACACAAATAATTAAGCTTGAAACATACCATTGATAAAAGGCAAAAATTTTCTTCAGCAAGGAATATATCCTTGAAGTTGAGATTTCTTACCTTGTCTATAATGTTGTTTTTAAGTTTTGAATCAGACACAAAAAACATTAATGCTTCATAGCAAGTTATTAATGATTTTTAAAAAAGAATCAGTATCATCTTTCTCCAAAAAAGAAGCAAAACATACTGTTTTATATATATGTATGACTTTAAACAATAGATCATTGTTTAAAAAATGGCAGATATCATTAAGACTTTACTTCATAACATAAAAATAGAGCATGTAGACTTCACTATGATGACGACATGGATGGAAAGTCAGTCCCATTGTAAGCAAAGCACAACTAGATGACAAAGACTCACCAACCAGTCAGACAAGAGATTACTTAACCCACTAATAAAGCCTCAGATTGACCCAGTACTACCAGGTGAGAACAATAATAACAGCAGGTCATTGCTTATCGCTGATGAAGCAAAGTGAAGCTGATGTCTCCATCACCTCTGACCTCGTGATCCTTGTCACCTTTGACCTCTTCAGGTTAAGATGAAGTTTGAGTTTACATTGAGTCTATTAGCATTATTGTCCAATATTTTTTTCATTATCTTGATTTTCTTTCTTTCTGAAGAAATATACATTGTGGAAATTTTGATGTGAGATTTTCTCCATTTCTTTTAACAAGGTTGAAAGATTTATAGCTGAAGGAAAGGTTTTTAAGTTCAAATTTCAAACTCTTTGGTAGTATTTGTGAAATGTGAACAATTTACATTCACATTCATGTTATGATGAACAATTTCTGTTTCTTGGAGCAAGTTACCATATTGTTATTCTCACCTGATAGGCCAGGATTGATGGATACACTAGGCAGTATCTGTAGTATTTAAATAGATCTATAGCATATTAAATGATATATTGACCATGCAGATTTGTTGGGGATGTTTGGACCAGCCTAAGCACAAAGGGCAGAAGAAGATCCTATATATGATAATTTAGACATAAACTATAATCCCATACCTATCTAAGTCTGGTTAGTGTAGTTTTTATTGGTAGACATGACCATGGTTCTAGGCTATGAAAATAGACGACCTGTCAGCTGAACTTTGGATTCACGTGACCTGCAGATTATCGCATCTATCTCGGATATCTCACGAGGTATGTAATTGATAGGTAGAGGTCAGCGAATTGGGATCTGTGATAAGATATTTGTCTTACTCTTACTACAGAACAATATCCCAGCAAGGCTGGGCCAATTAATTCCTTGTTTGACTGATTTTCTTGAGTCAGTATGTTAAGAGGTAAACACAAACAAATACAAATAATATTAGGGTTAATTTGAGAAAAAATTAAGTAAAGTAAGCATTATAGCAAATACATTTTTTTTCAAAATCATAATTTGTAAATAAAAAACACCTTTTTATTTTATATAATACATATTGGTCTGGTGTAATGGTCTTAGGATTTGCTTGAGGAAAACAGGAGAAAAATATTTAAAAAAATAAAATTTGCTGATCCAAATTTGAAATAAATGTGGGAATAGGGTTTTTGACTGTTAACCGAAATAATGATATATACAATCAACCACAAGAAAAGTGTCAAATCCTGAACTCATTCAAAGGAATCCTATGTAGCAGGTAAACGGCTTATAAGAGAGTATGATGATTAACAAGTTTACAAACTAAATACTTAATAATATATAATATTCCAGTTTGTGAGACATCTTCCACTGTATCTCACCTACTCACCTCAAAGGACACACTGGAAACAAGATGGCAGTAGTCCTTTGGACAGGCCTTTATCTCATTCAGACTAAATCAAACAAAGGTTCTCATTTGAATGAAATTGAGCAATGTAGTTTCTTTAACCAAAATTAGTAAGAAGCATATTTCAGTATAAGAAGTTCATGTCCATGAACCGCAGGTTTCATTTAAACCAGGTGGCTGTATTAAGCACCAAGCTGGAGATATGTGAATTTATTGTTTTGTGCAATGTTACTGTTTGTGTTGTGTTCTGTTATTTTTGTATTTAATTGTTATATACTTATACTATTTCGTACAAGCACCTTGCTTCTTGTGTACACAAGTTATGTGGAATTTGTGAACACCATGAAGGAACATGAATAAAAGAATGAAATACACTACAACCTGTGTCAGTGTGGTGTTAGGTTGTGGGTGGGTCTGTTTGGTGGGTCAGTGAGGGAGGGTGGGTGGGTGGATGAGTGAGTGAGAGTGTGGTTTGGTGACTGACTGACTGACTGACTGACTGACTGTGAGTGAGTGTGTGGTTTGGTTTGGTTTGGTTTAGTGAGTGAGTGAGTGAGTGAGAGAGTTAGTTAGCATTAGTCCAGCTATATGATCTAATAATCGAGTCTGAACCAGACAATCCAGTGAGTGATTGACATCATGAGCATCGATCCAGGCAATTGGGATATGATGACATGCATCAACCAAGTCAGCAAGACTGACCTCCCAATCCCGCTAGTCGCCTCTAACGACAAGCATAGTCGCCTTTTACGGCAAGAATGGGTTGCTGAAGATCTATTCTACCCCAATCTTCACGGGTCGAGTGAGTGAGTGAGTGTTTAATACTGCAGTCAGCAATATACCAGCTATATCAGGGCAGACTACAAATAATCAACTCAAACCAGTGGTTGATATGGGCAACGTCCTTCACCATCAGGATACGATTTCATGCTATTGACCAAATCACCATTCCTGACCTCCAATCCATATTAGAGCCTCTTATTGACAAGCACTGGGTACCACATCTAATCTTAATATCTAAATGCACACTAATAGATGCTGATGTAGCAGAATATTGATTTCCCGATCAGAGAATGCCCAGGGATCAACTCTGCTTTGAACAGTATTTCAGTTACATCGCAACTTCGATATTCAATCGTCAAGATACATGACTGTCACACTCAGCAATATTCAAGCCATATCATGACAAACTTTAAATAATCGAATCTGTACCAAGTAAACCGGTGATTGATAATATGAGCAACGTCCCACACCACTGGGGTACAATGACATGCGTTCAACAAAATCACTGAATCTGACCACCAGGTTCATTTAATTGCCACGTATGACAAACACTTGGGAATATTCTAACCGGGAACTTCAGACATGAGAAGCAGATTTTGTTGTTTTTCAGAGACTTTAAGGCGAGAAAATCATGAATTGTAAGTAAGCTTATTCCCTTTTTTTATTATAAATTTTTCGTTTTAGTTTTTGTCCCCATGTGATGACTTGCTCCTGGATATACCGAAGACGAAGATGAATATTTAAAGTGTCACCCGCTATTCAGAATAAAAATACACAAAATGAGAGCGTAAACATTGGCCTATGAGACACCAACACCTCAAACTTGTACATCAATTTCACATTAATTATAAAATGTGCATGTGAATCATAAAGCTTCACTATAGTTAAGTTATGAAAAAACAAACAAAGCCAACTCATTTATATACAGCTTAGCTCAAGATGAAAGGGTGACTATTCATTTGTCTGATTGGGTTGTAATTAGTGTGATTGGCCACAATTCCTCTTTAAGCCCCTTTCTAACTAATGAGAGAGATCCATGTACATGTTTATATTGTCTGTTCCTAGCCTCTGTCCAGGAGCTTTCACTGCAGCCATCAAGGAGATTATGACAAATTAGGATATTTTGTTTTAGAATTTTGCAACTATATAAACTAGATTTTTAAACCGATTTAAATTTCCCTTTTGAATATTGGTTTTTCAACATTGACTCATCAAACTTAATCATTAGGCATTGTTTAGTACTGTTCCATGATATATGTTTTACTGTGTTTTGTCATGGGTTAAAGGTTACAGAAGAAACAAGAACAGATATAAAACTTGGATCATCTTGTGTCTATTTAGCTAGTTTTATTTATCACTTGAAAACCTTTTATTCTTATTGTACGGGAAGATCTTGACAAGTGGTTTGTTGTTTACAAATGCCTGATTTTAAAGCAGTATTATCCTTATTATCATAATTATTAGCGATTTCTTTAAAAAAATACTTTATTTTTTGTGCTATATATTTAAACAATTAACAACAGGAAATGACGTAATATGATTTTATGCCTTTGAGTGTTATGCTGTTGGCATATTATCATAATTATTAGCGATTTATTTAAATAAATACTTTATTTTTTGTGCTATATATTTAAACAATTAAAAACAGGAAATGACGTAATATGATTTTATGCTGTTGGCGTTTTTCTAAATTTACATTGTTGAACAATGGTTACTAGTATCAATTAGTATGTGCTGCAGGCATAAAAACACTGGAGTTCCTGTAGACATTAAGGGGATTACATCAGACAGATTATGATATAAAATGTGGAGGCGGGTTGTAAAGTCGTTGAACTAACAATACATTGCATCTGTATGTGACCCGAAGACAATATGTTGATGACAAAAATTATTGAACGATATAATATGATTAATTCTAAGTATTCTTACTCAAATTATACTTGTTGATTGGGTATTCATTTTGAAATTGTTCATAAGCTATTCAACCATCTGAGTTTCCTGATAAATCTGTTCAAAAAATTGGTTTGTTTCTTGTCAAACGTCGCACTCACCAATATTCCCGCTATGTGACAGCAGCCTGTAAATAATCTAGTCTGGACCAGGCAATACAGGGGTTGATATTATGAGTGACAAACTATGCCGTCTCGGTATGATGACACGCAATCAACCAGGTGACGAGGAAACGTTGTTGAGAGATAAAGTTACTCATATACTATTGCATTGCTACAGTGGGGCGTTTGTTAAATTGATGTATGGATTCCACTGTCACTACAGGAATATAAATGGAAACAAATATCTAAATAGCGCTATCTTATTCCGACAAATGCAGATGCAAAATTGTTCATGCAGCAGATGAAACTACAAAACAATAGGTCACTAACAAGACAAGCTGAACCGACACAGCTCCCATCAATAACTGTATGTATGTATCTCAGATACGTTTTTGAAGAACAAGAAAAGAAATGTGAAATATCTTTTTATTGAGTTTTCTACCCACGAGTAGACATAACGATTAGTAGACAGAGCCCACAAGTAGACATAAGCCACGACCAGATAGAACCAACGAGTAGATGTAACCCATGAGTAGATAGAACCCACGAGTAGACAGAGCCCACAAGTAGACATAAGCCACGACAAGATAGAACCAACGAGTAGAGATAACCCATGGGTAGATAGAACCAACGAGTAGACAGAACCCACAAGTAGATAGAGCCCACAAGTAGACAGAGCCCACAAGTAGACATAAGCCACGACAAGATAGAACCAACGAGTAGACAGAGCCCACAGGTAGACATAAGCCATGAAAAGATAGAACCAACGAGTAGATATAACCCATGAGTAGATAGAACCCACGTGTAGGTAGAACCCACGAGTAGACAGAGCCCACAAGTAGACATAAGCCACGACAAGATAGAACCAACGAGTAGATATAACCCATGAGTAGATAGAACCCACGTGTAGACAGAGCCCACAAGTAGACATAAGCCACGACAAGATAGAACCAACGAGTAGAGATAACCCATGAGTAGATAGAACCCACGAGTAGACAGAGCCCACAAGTAGACATAAGCCACGACAAAATAGAACCAACGAGTAGATATAACCCATGGGTAGATAGAACCCACGAGTAGACAGAGCCCACAAGTAGACATAAGCCACGACAAGATAGAACCAACGAGTAGAGATAACCCATGGGTAGATAGAACCCACGAGTAGACAGAGCCCACAAGTAGACATGAGCCACGACCAGATAGAACAAACGAGTAGATATAACCCATGAGTAGATAGAACCCACGAGTAGACAGAGCCCACAAGTAGACATAAGCCACGACAAGATAGAACCAACGAGTAGATAGAACCCAAAAGTAGACATAAGCCACGAAAAGATAGATCCAACGAGTAGATATAACCAATGAGTAGATAGAACCCACGTGTATATAGAACCCACGAGTAGACAGAGCCCACAAGTAGACATAAGCCACGACAAGATAGAACTAACGAGTAGATATAACCCATGAGTAGATAGAACCCACGTGTAGACAGAGCCCACAAGTAGACATAAGCCACGACAAGATAGAACTAACGAGTAGATATAACCCATGAGTAGATAGAACCCACGTGTAGACAGAGCCCACAAGTAGACATAAGCCACGACCAGATAGAACCAACGAGTAGATATAACCCATGAGTAGATAGAACCCACGAGTAGACAGAGCCCACAAGTAGACATAAGCCACGACAAGCTAGAACCAACGAGTAGATAGAACACAGGAGTAGACAGAACACAGGAGTAGACAGAACACAGGAGTAGACAGAACACAGGAGTAGAGAGAACACAGGAGCAGACAGAACACAGGAATAGACAGAACACAGGAGTAGACAGAACACAGGAGTAGACAGAACACAGGAGCAGACAGAACACAGGAGTAGACAGAACACAGGAGTAGACAGAACACAGGAGTAGACAGAACACAGGAGCAGACAGAACACAGGAATAGACAGAACACAGGAGTAGACAGAACACAGGAGTAGACAGAACACAGGAGTAGACAGAACACAGGAGTAGACAGAACACAGGAGAAGAGAGAACACAGGAGTAGACAGAACACAGGAGTAGACAGAACACAGGAGTAGACAGAACACAGGAGTAGAGAGAACACAGGAGTAGACAGAACACAGGAGTAGACAGAACACAGGAGTAGATATAACACAGGAGTAGACAGAACACAGGAGTAGAGAGAACACAGGAGTAGATATAACACATGAGTAGAGAGAACACAGGAGTAGATATAACACAGGAGTAGATATAACACAGGAGTAGACAGAACACAGGAGTAGACAGAACACAGGAGTAGACAGAACACAGGAGTAGACAGAACACAGGAGTAGACAGAACACAGGAGTAGACAGAACACAGGAGCAGACAGAACACAGGAGAAGAGAGAACACAGGAGTAGACAGAACACAGGAGTAGACAGAACACAGGAGTAGACAGAACACAGGAGTAGAGAGAACACAGGAGTAGACAGAACACAGGAGTAGACAGAACACAGGAGTAGATATAACACAGGAGAAGAGAGAACACAGGAGTAGA